TATATATATATATATATATATATATATATATATATATATTTAGCAACAGTGTCAATTTGTCTTTTTTTGTCATATGCTATTGAATAAATGATATAGCAAAAACAATTAGCAACATTAATGATCACACTGTATTCATTTTTTCTTTTCTCTTCTTCTATTTCGTATTGTTTTCTCAGTGCAGATTTTAAAATAATTATTTTATTGTGACATTATTATCGTATGTTTGTAAATATTAATAAAGATACAGAACATTTATTATTTATTATTTATCTGTTATACGACACTGTATTTATCAAAAAAAAAAATAAATAAATAAAAATAAATAAATAATAAATAAATTAATAAATAAAATTAAAAAAAAAAGCACAAAATAAGTATTCACGAGTAAATTAAGAAAATCAGTAAAACTTAAAGGATCAAACTTGATGACAGCTAATTCTTAGTATGATTTTATAAAAAATGTATGCTAAATTTAATTTTAAAGCAATAATTAAATAAAATTAACACCAAAAAATATAGAATTCTTATTTTTTTTTTTTTTTTTTTTTTTTTTTTTTTTTTTACATTTTAATTTAAAATGATAAACGATAGATCCTTATAATAAAATTCAATTTAATAAATAAAATAAAAACATATATTTAATATTAATCGAGTATGATACGCAGTTTTTACGCAATATTGTCTAATCTGTTAATTATATTTTTCTAATATTTCTAATTCTAATATTCTTCTTTTTTTATTATTATTATTAATGAATTAGGTATTTAATTAAGCGTGACTGTTCATAAAAATAATGGTTACTTTTTGTAGCGAATTATGACGATTAAAATTATGTAATATATTTAAACTGTGTGTTTTATTGTTATGACTTTGAGCTTTTATTAAGTTATGAGATAAAAAAAAGTACTTCTTAAAGATGTCTGAACACTCGTCTACGAGCAGCAGAACAGTCGACCCGATGTTCTCAGAAGGTCATTTTTTATTTCTCCACCGTTATTTATTGGGTAGGTAACCTTGGAGAGTACGGGTAGTTGACAATTTGTTCGCGATAATTCTAGGAATGTTAGTTACGTACAAGGAAGATAAATATTGTTTTCTTTTTAATAAAGGAAAGACGGTGGCATTAAAAAAAAAAAAAAAAAAAAAAAAAAAAAAAAAAAATACATGGAGATAATGAAAACCAAGCGGTTAACGCGAAAACTAATCTTACTCTAATCTTGGCAAGCTCTTCGACTTTTGCGCGATTACACCAGCAAACACATACTCTCGAAAAGTCAAGAAATTTTATATGTATACATAGATCTCAAATGTTCTTTGTAACAGTCGACACTTCTTCTCTAATTGTCTAATTCTAGCTTACATAAACCATTCCACTCCATGCTAATTATAAAGTAAATGAGAATGATTGCAGCTAAAGGTTGAAAATTATATGGTAAATACTAAGCTATTTATTTACTTATAATTTTACTGATTATTTCGCCTTTCTTTATGAAAGTCTCTCTCAAACAGTTGGGAAACGACAGTTGAAAAATTGGAAAAAAGTCACTTTTGTGAAGTCGGAGCGATGAGAGACAAATAAAGATCAGCGTCTTGCCATCAAGCTTATGACGATAGATCTATCGACTATAGCGGATATCGATTACTCGCAACAGTAAACGATGCCAAGCTGATCAGATTCAAATACTTCAATAACGTGGCCTTGCTTGTCTTTTAATTGTTGGTGGATTTGCAATATATCTCGTGAAATCCATTTATGGAAGAAATGGGTGAGGTGAAAGATACATCGAGTGCCGGTGAATGCTCGCGATAATAATACACATACGACTCAAGGTATTTTAGAAAATGATAGCGTTGCCAAAGAAAAAAATGCCAGAGTGGTAGTTGTCGATCGGAAGGCGCGACACATTGAACAGCGTGATGGTAATGCTTTGTGGATTTCTAAATCCAACTTCGATCTCGTTGAAGAGCGACAGTACAAGTACGGATAATTCGGATTATGAACATTAGCCAGAAATGATTTCTGGCTAAGAAGGAAATTAGGTTTACATGAATATCTGTCATACTCTCGTGAGCTGTACCGTACACCGACGCTTTTAGTGTAAAGTTTGGGAACGTCAGGATCACCTTTAGTGTGTGCGTAAGATTGATGATTATTCAGTAAATATTGATCACGTTTGCTTGCGATGCTTACATCACATATCTAGTTACATAATTTCTAATCTAAATTTAGTAGTATGACATGGAAAAGTATAGAATATCATCAAGTGTGTCAGTGGAATAATTCACAAGGTGAAATGCTCACGCATACAATCACATAAACGCGCACATTAGTATATAAATATTAGGCATTTAAGAAACTATCAATGATTTTTTTCTGCATTTTTGAGATACATATATTGACAATATTTAACTACATTGTATATGACATTGCTCTAATTGTTTACAATAAATACTATAAATACAGATTGGTTAATTTAATGGATTAGTCAGGCAATAGCAAAGAGCGCGCGAATGTGAAATATCAAGTATCGTTACAATACATTTTAGTTGAAATTAAAAAATTAAGATATCTTTAATATTATTATTTAAATTTATATGATAAATATCTATAGAATTTACATTGAAACATACATCGATAAGTATTGGATGAGAAATGTATACAAATAATATTCTCCCTACTGCATTCAATTTTCGTAAGCAATGTATAGAAATGTTATTAGGAGCTTATAAAAGAAAATTTAATAATAGAGCGACATTTAATTGTCAGTATGTATAAGCATTTAATTATAAATTTATAATTTATTTATGTAATATCTCGAAATAGCTATTTGAACAATGTGTAATAAATTAATTTGAATATGATGAAAACTTTTAAATTAAAATGCAGTTTCAGTCTAATAAAATATATTAAATGCCTTGAAATTCTAAATTTCCATTACCAAAGGCATAATACATTAAAAAGAAGTTTGTTAAAAATTTAAAGTATTTTATAAATTGGATAACTTTTATTTCATAAAAAATCTAATTAAAATATTTGTTATTGCTAGGACATCTTGCTTACGTTTGATTAAAATTTTATTGTAGATATTAATCAAGGCATAAAAGAATATAATTAATGTTACAAATTGTTAAACATTTAATTCAAATATAAATTTATAATTATTGTTTTATTTTAATATAATAATAAATATTAAGGTATATTTAAAAATGTTTACTAAATAAATTAGAAATTACCTTTATATTTAAATGAAATATAATTACTATCCTTCTAAAATCAATAATAATGATTATTTTGTGGTTCTATATTCTGCATCCTATTAAATTACAATTAAATTACAAATAAATGTTTGCCTGATAACTTTTAAATACATCAATATAAATATCTAATCACATTCCAATAGCTGCAACTGAAAGTAATAAAATTATAAAATAACATTTTATAACCATCCATACATTAGTATATTCTGAAAACAAGGAAGAAAAGTAAATAAAACTACAATTTAAAAAATATAATTTCAGTTAAATACTTTATTTAACTAATTTCCACATGTCTACTTATCTATAAAGTTGCAACAATAATTATGTAATATTGGATATCATTTTCTGATAGATGACAAAATTGCATTTGTAGAACTATTTCTTACTACTTTTGGTACAATATTTATACAGAATTAAAAGACCAATTGCACCGTATGTACTTTTGGCAATCTGCAATGACCATAACAAACAATTCATTATCAAATCTATTTGAATATTTCTGCAGACGACAATTTTTAGGTTAAGTAGACGTTACGTTTGATTACTTACGTTTGCTCGTCCGAAAGTCGTATAACTGTTAAAATATTTTTTAAAACCCTTAAATTGGTTAGGGTCGGATGAATTTTCCGACATCTTTCTACGTTAATCTTACCAATATTTAATAACCAAGAATGAAAGACTCATCAATTTTGACCAGAAAAATACCAAATTATCTATGTTGGCTCCGAACAGCAAACTGTTTCCCGGATGCTCAGCTCAAATAGATCAATTTCCATCGAATGAGGACCGGATGCGATTGTAATAGTAAGAGCGCGACTTTTCAAAGAAATCATTCTTATTATAACGCGAGTCTGAAAAGAAATGTTCAGTTTTTAATTATTTTAACTCCCAACATTAATTGATATGCCGCATATAAAATAAGCTACATCGCTAATAAATAAAACAATTTTTATTATTTTTAATGTCTATTAAACAAATATCTCTTAATACGACATTTCTGACACATAATATATTGATCTTCATTTTCTGCAAATAGATGAAATTATAAAAATTATGTAAAATTATCATTGCTTGTTTTTTTTTCTTTTTCCTTAAATACTTTCTACACTTGAGTTTATTAATTTTATATTATAATATTTCCAAACTTTTTGATAATTTATATATTTTTAAACATCGTAACTAAAGCTTTTCATAATTAATGATGCTATAAGCTTCAAATATTAATAATTGATTCGTCTCATACCTAACTTGATGACTTATAAAAGCTTATACATATATATAATTAGTTATATAACTCTTGTGCCTAAACGAATAAATACAGTATCTTACCCTTGGAACATAAATTTACATTTGTGTTGGTATGATTTTATGCTTAATTATCTAATTATAATTAAAGGTAGAGATTGATTTGGGAAATTTATTAATTGGATTATTATATCATCTGAAAAATTTGAACTTTATCTTAATTATTTTTTAAAATAATATATTTTATTTATTCTCATACATGCTTATAAACGTTGATTATTGATTAGCCATAAATTGTTATTATTCGTAACAATATTAAATTAAATAAAACTATTGTTTTATACTACATCAAATTATAAATGATTGACTTCAGTTTATTAGTTAATATATTATTATTACCACTATTTTAGTAAAGATACTGTATATACGATATTAAAGATTGATAATGAAATATAATTGTTACTTAAACCATATCATTTATTACAGCAAAATGAAATAAAATATATTATAAAAATGTAAACAAAAAACTAATTTGGATATTAAAAAAAATAAAGTTCTAAATATACTAATTATCATTATTAATTATTATTTACATGTAGTACTAACACTTTTGTAATTTAATTAGCATATACATATATATATCCATGTAATTCATAAGTAGGTACATAAATTACTATGCAAACTTTTCTTAAAAAATATAATTTGTTTATATGTAAAAATATTGAAATATAACATTTTGTAGGAACATTGATAGATTATCATTTCATAAAAAATATTTGTATCGAAATTAGGAATCTGTCAATCTTTGTAAGCTTTTAAATTTTCTGTATTGAACAAATAAATTCTGAAATAAAAATTTATTAGTTAATAAATATTTTTAAAACTATTAAAAATATTGATAAAAATAAGTATAACGTACTAAAACATCGAACAATATTTTATTATTATATTTTTCGTACAGGAAACTTTCGATATCTTTGTTATATTGTGTCATTAAAGGAAGTGCCATTTTCAGTATTTTTGTATTTAAAAGATCAAGTTTCACCAAAATGTGTAACATATCTTTTAGATGTACGAGCGTTAAAATAAAATTATCAATTATTTTATTGTTTTCACGCGGTACTTCAAGTGTACTTCTGTAATAAAAATAAATATGCTCGTTAATAATTACATGTGTAAATATTATAATTTACCTCCTCATTGATTAATGTTAATACTATATCATTTATTACTTATCCAATTGTAAAAAAAGTTCGCTGTCAGTTTCTCTGGTTAAGAATTTAAAGTTTACATCGCATTGTAAAATTTTAAGTAACTTAAACATAAGTTTTTCATGTTTTAAATTAGTAAAGGCATCTACAAATTGGCTCGCACATATCCATCCCTCATCATTTAGGTAAAACATATGAATTTTTTTCTTTTGGCATCTTTCACTAAGATCTAAAGATATATTTAAATATTATTAGATAATGCATATTTAAATTTAGTTGACAAATTACAAGAGTTTTAATTCAATTGAATCGTATTTATTTATAAATAAGGATTTTTAATAATTTACTTACTTATTACAGTATACATAAGATTTGTATGTATATGATTAATATTGACCAATGCTAAATTACTACGAGTTTCTGATGAGAGAGATTTTGCAATATAATTGTCATTCGTGTCTTTGCAACCTAAATTGGGTTCATTAATATTACAACAGCTTTTCATGCTTTCATAATTATCATTATTAACACATGTATATATAGATTTAGATTTGCTAGAATTGCTAGAACTACTACAATTTTGTTCTGAAAAATTATTATTTATATTTATTTCAAATTTATGCTCGACGTGCAATCTATCGTAATTCATACATCTGAATTTTAGTTCTTGCTCCTGCTCCATACTAGTATTTCCTTGTAATTGACAATGCGTATTTATATATTCTTTTAAGAGTGCACATTCATTTTCATGGTTGACATTATGTGTTTCTAGTTTAACATTGCAATTTGATGAATAACTATACAGACCCGGTTTAGGTATATGACAATTCAAGTAATTCTTAATGCCTTGATTAAGAAAATTATTCTCATTGCGAGTACTATCCACTTCAGAAAAATTTGTTTTAATATCATTATAATTTTCATTTACATCAGTATCAAAGTTGTCATGATTCTCTACGACAAACTTTAAATTTAATAGATTTTGAGTGCTGCAATTCTCTTTTTCTTCGTTTTCAACATCATTACCATACACACTATCGCTCTTTCCCGAAGTTATATTTATAAGTTTTTCTGCCAAGATATTGATCTGATTTGTCAGGCATCCTTTGTCTTCTATCGATTCAGCAATATTTACTATATCATATTCATAATCATCGATAGAATTGACTTCTTTACTAGGCAATCCCGTGGTATTATCATAATTTAAAGAAGTACTTTTATCATTCGCATTTTCTTTCTTTACCATTGGTTCTTTCAATTTTCCTTGTTTTTCTGGCAACACGACTTCATTGCTTTTATGTATTTTATGTTCTGGAAAATTAGTTGCCTAGATGAAATAAAAAATTAATTTCTGATTTATATATGAATGATTGTAGTATACATATATAAAGTCGAGAAAATTACTTATTTTAGATAAGCTTGAAAAAAAAATTTTTTAACGCCACTCGATTCTATTTCAGTGTATCTTTATTATTATTAATTATCCAATAATTATACATTTGAACAAATTAATACATCAAATTATTCATTTACACATAATAGTTCAATGTTACAAGTAAATTTTTTTCCAAAAGTAATGCTGAATTAATCATTGATTTAAAATTTTTCCAATTTTATTAATTATTAGATAAAATATTTAAGAACAATTGAAATATATTTTCAGCTTCATGATTTTTATACAATTTTAATTTTTACTTTAACACACTTCACTTTGAATAACTAAAGCATTAATAAAATAAAATTGAAATATTCTATATTTCAAATAAAATTAATTGAAATAAAATTATGAAGATTTACAATTTAATATATGAAATAATACATATAATATACAAATAAATTAATATTGCTAATGTTCTTCTTCGTATGACAAAAAGTAATTTGCAATAAATATGTTTATATATTATTATATAGTTGATAATGTCAATCAAATCAATATTTAGTTAAATACAGAAACAAAAAGTGCATAAAAAATATGATGTACAAGATACAGATTAAGAAATACAATTTATAATAAAAAACATAAGAACTATCTAAATTTATTAAAACAATTATTCCTAAATGACGGAACGTAAAATTGAAATAACTGGAGGTTTAGTTTTTAATAATTAGCTGGTAGTACGTCAAAATATTATGTTCAAAAGATTAAAATGTATGAATTATTAACTTTAGCAATAAAATGGAATTATAATTTACATTTGTACTTGGATTAAAATAAATTTAGCGTGCATGTTACATTAAACATATTTCTTTTAACCATAATTACTAATATTAATGCTAAAAATATAAAATCACTTTTATATCAATCAACCGTGAAGATTTAAGAAATTTTTCTTAGATTATTATCAAATATTTTTATATGACAAAATTTCGTTTTATGTATTTCATTAATTTTCTAACATTCAAGATATTATTATACTATTGGATTAATATTTGTTACATTGTTTAAGAAATTGTCTTTTTTTTTTCTTTCAAAAACCAAAAATTTGTAAAAATAATGTTGAAAAAATATTAAACATTCCCAATTTTATGTTTTAATACTTTTACATTGTAAAGTATAAAATTTTACGAAATATTGATAGAATAATTAAAATAATCGCTTAGTGCATTAATTCTACTAACATATTTAATAAAATATATTAATTTTAAATTTATAGAAACAAATAGGTATTATAAGTCTTCAAGCATTTTAAATATAAATTTATTAAATTTAATATAAATTAATGAATAACAATACGAGTTGATGTAATTATAATGTGAATATGATCGCATGAAAGAAGTATTATTTATTCATTTTTTTTTTTTTATCTAATTTAATTACCTATTGATTTAGTTAATAACTTTTTATACAGATTGAAAAGTTTTTGTTCATAAATATTTTCTTCGCCCTTTTTATCAATGGACTTATTGGTCGATGAAGAATTAGATAAATATAATGCACAATATTGTTCAAGCGCAGCTTTTTTCATCTCATTACTAATATAATTTTCTGTACTTGACAATTCTGAAGGAATTATATTTTCAGTATGCATTTTTTTTCTGGATTCAATGCTTATTAAGTCAACTTTGTTTTTTCTCAAGCATTGTCTATAATGTTGGAAAATAAAGTTATTACAAATACAAACCGTTTTATCCCACTCTGCTAATTTATTTACTACCATCCAATCACTTATATGTATGTCAACCAAATCGTCGCTTGTGTCCGTTAACGTTATCATCATGGTATTCTTCTGTAAAACAAATATATAATAAGGCAATTATTGTAATTAAGAAATTATAAAAAATAATACGACTACAGTATGTTAATAATTTACTTCTTCGTTTATGGTAGAAATTTTAGCAATCAAAGGTATATTCCACACTTTATTGATAAACTTATTAACAGATAAATTGGTCCACACATTACTTCCAATTGGTTTAATACTATATAAACCACAAGCTATTGCTTGTGCCGGTAAAGTACAAAATTGTTTATTTAAAAAATACAATTCGTTTGGACTATAAGTTTGTACAGTTCCATAATCATAAAATAAAATCTATACGAGAATTTATTATTAATAATTAATAATTTTCATTAAATATTTAAATAGATTAATAATTTGACTTACCACGATAAGATCATTTGGCTTAATCTCTTCGATTATACCTCTGTGCCACACTTTATCATAAATGCAGGCAATATTAAGTCCTTGCTTTAACATATTTTGTGGTACTTTATAAGAAGGTAGATCTTGTCCGTTGTAAAAGTCACTGCGAAATAAAGATAATCAAAAACACTTGTTACATCAATATTAATAATATTTTAAATATACATTGAATATTACTTTAATGCAATCATGAGCTTATTAAGTTTATTTCTATTTTTCAAAAGTACTATCCAGAAGAAAGAGGGAGTAAATATTTCTGAAATAACAATTTCAATATATTCTTGATTAACCAACGACGTAACGAGTATATTATTTACTCTATCACCAAGATTCATAACGTCGTCAGGAAGCAATTTTTTAGATTCTCCAATTGACTAAAATAATATGTACACTAACCACTAATTTCTAAGTATTTTAATTTAAAAAATTATTGTAACAAGTATTCTTACCAATCTATTAGGAACTGATTCAAGATCACTCGCAGTATTATTATTGACATTATAAATGAAATTCATTGTCTTCGCTTTGTAATTCCCTTTACTATTACGATCATTAGAAATTGTTTTTGCGCTAACTACTAATTGTTTTTTATCGTGTGATAAATTTACAATATGAAAGATTTCTGGTAAAGCAGCAATAAAATTAGTTATACTGTGAAATCCAAGATTATTATAGTCTAAATCGGTATTATATTCAAATTTATATATGCTTGGTAATTCCGAACACCAAATTCCATCCAAATGTTTGTCTATTAAATCTTGTAATTGCATTTTTAACCTTTCTGGAATAATATTGTTTGATGAATTAATCTCTGCCGATCGCACTTTCTTTTCATCCTTTAAAAGTGGATAAATACTTTCCTTAGATTCTTCTATACTTAAACTACCATTATCAAATGCTAGATTTTTATTAGCTATATCATTTAATGGTGAGATATTTGTTTTATATTGTTCTAATTGCACTTTAAAATAAATATAATTATGTTCGATACTTATCAGATCTGAAAACTTATATAGGTCGGAATTTAAATTATTCATACTGTATAACCTTGCATATTTATCATTAAGACGTTTTCTCACTTTATAGAGAATTTCAGATTTTTGTATCTTATGATTTATTTCTACGGTATTAAAGGAACATTGAAATTCTTGAAGAACTTGATTTAAGATATTATAATAGTTAGGAAAATTTCTTTGCTTATGGTTCTGATTGTACTTTTTTGTCTTCACAGATTTCTTTTGCCTAGCGACTAAAGAGCTAATATGTACAGATTTTTCAGTATTAACATGATAAACGCATAGAGTATTATCTGGATTAGATTTAAGTCTCAAAGTGTCGGACATACTATTTAAAAATTCCAATAAATTTGGATAATTAAATTCTCTAAATGGAATATCTCTGCCTTCCATCCTACTGTACATGGCATTTAATTCATTTACACTAATGTCATTACGCCCTTCTGAAATTAATAATGATCTCAAAATAGCTTTGACTTCGTTGAGTCTGTTTAAACTCGTACAACTTGATGATTTTGACATTTTGAATGACTTTATTCTAATTCAAGATAATATAAATGGCCATTCATACATGAACAAAGTGATAGTACAAAACACGTGATAAAACAAAAAAACAAAAACAAAAACAAACAAACCAAAAAAAAAAAAAAACGGTTTGATAAAAATGCAGTGTTATAGCAATGTTATTATCCCACATAAATGAATATAAAATAATAAAATTAATAAATTAATTAATTATAGGCTGATGATTGGTAATCTTCACTTCATAATCTTCACCGATAATATTAAATAATATTAACACACAAACGAGCTTCAAAGTATTTCCAAGTCATGTGGTCACTTTTGTTTTATTTCCAATTATCTTTCACATATTACAAAAAAAAAAAAAAGAAAAGAAAAAAAAAAGAAAAAAAAAATTACCGGTAAACGAAAGTTCTTTCTACACAGTAATGTACAAAAAGTATAATTTTATGCAATAATTTATCAGACAAATAAATTCAAAATAAAGTCGAAAACAATTATTATATCAAACACTGAATTTAGGGTGCAAGTTTTATATAATTTTTTTGGATTATGCGCAGTAATTATTTTATACTGATTGGTTGTAGCAAATGCGATCGTTTAAATTATTTGCTAATTAAAGGATAATGGTCGAGCCGCAGAATTCGCTCGGAGTTAATATCAAGAAACGGCATAAATTCAAAAATACCGTATAACGTATGGAAAATTTTATTGTATCACGTAGATTATTGCCTAATTGATTCGTTTGCCCAATTCCTTTGTACGGCCTATATATCCACACTTATACGCATGCATATATACATATATACATATATACATATACATATACATATATATATATATATATATATAAGTTTTTTGATAAAAATAGTATTGTTTGTAACTCATTCGGGTAGAAATATCAGCAATATCTTCACTCTGAACAATCTTCCCATTCTCAACGACACAAGTGACAATTTATCAAATTATTATTACTAAATTTACACGATTAAATGATTTCGTATAGGAATGAAGCACACTCTAGTTCTGATATAACTCGAAAGGAAAACATTGAAATATGCGAAAAGGACATTGACTAGACAACATTTTCCAAGAACTTGATTTGTAATAACGAATATTACTTGAATCAAGCACGCTACTTACAATAGTCATTTATTGGAATGCATAGCACATCAGTTATTTCAAGATGGATTCTGTTTTACGTGTCACATCGTTATTCATATTATTTAATATGTCAATTTACAAACTGTACGACGATAAAATACTTTCATTTTTTGTTACTCATGGGACTAGTAGTTTTTTTTTTTTTTTTTTTTTTTTTTTTTTTTTTTCAACAAAATTCTTATGATGCATTTGCTTTTATAAAGCTATTTTATGAAAGATCCAATTCAAAAAGTCAGTATTAAGAAAATTTTTAGTTGAAAGTAAGAATTTTGTAAATGGATAGTCGCTATAATAAAATATGATTATAATAGAAATAATATCCTTCCCAGAAAAATTATTATGCGTTTGCACCAGATTTGCAAATGCAATTTAATGCAATTTATAAAAATTTTATTAAATATATTATTGTTATTATTGTTATTCTTATTATGATATACGCGTATAAGAGATATTTATTGAAATATCATCATAGTAAATAATTATGTGCAAAATGTGTATGTAACAAGCCAACATGAAAATAAAATATTCATCAACTGTAAATAGCGATAAAAGATGATGAAACTTTAATTTTTGACACTAATATACCTTCTTATTAAAAAGAATGATCAACAATATTAAACGTTTAATTGTTTATACTACGTTTTTTTTTCTCTACCTCTTTAATAGTCTTTAGTTTTCTTATAATTCTTATATGTTTGGCTATTTTAGTCTTTTCATTCGCAAAACAGATTTAAATGAATAAATTCGTTGAAGCATACTTGCAACGCACCTGCCACATGCATTATAAACACGAATAAAATAACAATTTTTTTTTCTTCTTTTTTGTTTTTTTTTTTTTTTTTTGCACGTAAGTTAAATGTACGTTCGACGTTACTTTTAATACTTTTAAAAAATCGATTGCATGAAAGGCCAGATAACTTTCTCGGGACTTTCCATGATATTTAAATGATACTTAAATAATAATTATTGCTTAAGACGCGGCCCAAAAAGAGCTTGGAATTTAAATTGAAAAATTATCGTCCACCTCAATGGCAAACATTTGAAAAGCACGGCCCGGGCGTTCCGGGGTTTGGTTGTCGTGAAAAATATCGGCATTTAACAACAAGTCTTCGATTATAATTTATAATGTTTTAATAGATGCTTGTGTCCGATGTCGTCCCAACCTGTCCCCATACGACTTCAAACGACCAAATTCATCATCGACGTAAGAAATGGCAGTTATCTTTGCAGACAGGCGATCGTTCGGTCGTCGCTGAGGGAAGGAACGCAAATCAAATAGAATTTTAATGATATTCAATGAAAGCGAGGATCCATCATTTTAAAGTTCTATTCTTTCAAAGCGGACAGACCACCCCCCGTCATATAATAAATACCTGATAATCGATATTTCACGTTAATTGTCCTCAATGTCCCCGAATTGCAATTATTGTCGTGACAAATATTTTTCTAATAAATTTATGATAAATGTAAAGAAAAAGATAATTTTAAAATATTTTTATGCGCATAGAGAGAATTAATACATCATCATCCCCCCCCCCCCTCCGCTCCACGCCACCAAATACCCGTGTGTTGTCAAACTCTTCTCTAACTCACTTATTTATATCTATATTATTATATAACAATTATAATAATAAAAATAGTTTGACAAATAATTCAATAATTATATTCTTCATCGTATTTCACCGGACGGACGACGACACAACACACACACGCCACGCCCACGCGCGCATAGAGTACTTAATAAATAATTATTGAACATAAATGATGAAGAAGGAGTAGGAGAGGGGAGGGAGGATATGGAAAGGACTGTAAAAATAATCAATAAATAACAATAATACAATAGGTAGGAGTATATAATAATAAGTGGTAAGTATTAGTGGCGCGAAGGAGAAAAAACTTTGGTGTATTGTACTAACACACTTTTCCCTCCTACTCTTTTAACTATTCTGTTCATCCCTTCCCGTTCCGTCCCCCGTCACGTCCCTTCCATCCAAAGGAGACATATTGAATGGTGATGGTCGATGATACGATGGATAGTGAGATATAATTATGTTTGTATTAGTTAAGATGGGCCTATCCGCACTGTACTGCAATGCACGGCAGACCCGTGGCAGGATCGGAGCAAGCTCCCGTCATCCCGCCGACCGAGAAAAATACGGTCGATATTCAGGCCCCCAGATCGGGGGCGTATCAGATATCAAGCTGATAAGAACAGATACTACACTTTGATCTTAGCCATTAGGCCGAGAAGCGATACCGGAGTATGCTTCGAGCGGGCTATTTATTCACATGGAAGCGTTGTTTCGATTGCGCAATGGCGTTCGCCATCTAGCGCCTAATGCCAAATGCGTTGCTGAGTGAAGCTTGGAAGCGTCGGGCTGTAGAATTATTTTGTGCGGGAGAAATTTTGAAGGCGAGCGATGCGATAGATTGAATTATGAGAAATGAGTATTTGAATTGTGAGGGAATATGTTGAATCGAGACGATGTAATTTTTAGAAATATTTTTTAAACGAATGTATCGGCTTTGCATTGATATTATGATTTGACTTTATCGTGGCATAGTGCATAGTGCGCGCGTCCTAGTCATTATTTCATAATGAATAATTGTAAAATGAATGTGATCGGAAGTAAATGTTATTTTGCCTTCGTATTGGTTTAGTTGTCAAATTTATTAAAAATCATTGGTTCGCATATTCGACGAAAAGTAGAATGAATAGTTAACAATTGCGTACGTTGGTTTATCATCGAAGAGTATAACAATTATAAGGTGGTAATTCATATTTACAATAGACGATACTATAATTTTCTCAAACTTATATCTCTATGTTCATTTATTTTTTAAATATCTCTACTCGCTCGTGTTGTTATATTTATTTTAAATAAATTAAAAACGATAAGAACAAAGTTCTTTCCCTTTGGTTTCAATTGTTTTCCCGCCGATAAATGACTTGGAACGCTACTCACTCTGGATAACTATTTTTATAAATAAACTATTGGAAAATTGAAATGTCGAATGATCATCAATGTTATGTTAAAGCAAATTGACGAATTCTATACATTATACATGCCCATCGATAACGCTGTATAGGGACGCTTATATATGGTTAGTAAAATTACTATAATTGAGTAGTGTGTGTGTTGGGTGGCGGGGGTTGGGGGGTAGGGGGGTGACAAACAATATGGCTTAAGTCATATCCATGGTACGTCAGCATTTTACTTTATTTTATGCGTGAGATTTTCAATTTTCAAAATGTAAAATCCACCAAATTTATTAAATTTATAAATCCAACAGTACAGCGTTCTATTTGTATGCGTACAAAACTATGTGTAATAAAATTATAAAAATAATACCTTTTAGGTTTAGGAAAGTATGAATTGGACTTGCCAATGTTTGGTAAAGAATTTATAGATGTCAAATTGTTTAAAAATGGATGATGACTGTGAGAAAAGAATTGCACGTGAGTTATAATTAAATGTAACTTAATTTGCGACTTAGCCCTTATGAATTTAACGTGCCCGAATTAAATATAACGAGTATATTTTAATTAAACAATTAACAAAGACTTTGACTTGTTGTTTTAAACTTATTACAGAGTATGAATCTATCTGGGATACATCGCTGGAGACTTCCAAAGTGCAGGTGGAAAAGAAGCTAATTGTGAAGTTCCATCCTGGATATAGTACGGGTACGGTTGGTATCAGAGGTGACACGGCGATGTCAAGCGGTAGACACCATTATTGGGAAATAAAAATGATCACACCGGTTTATGGGACAGATGTGGTAAGCTGTGACATATATATATATATATATATATATATATATATATATTTTTTTTTATTATATAATTTTATCGTATGTTTGTGAGTATAATACAAATTTATTTTTATGGTACTTACCTTGACAAAGCATGACTTTACTTTAAACTAAAATAAATTCTATGTCTTAAAAATATTGTTTCAGATTATAATTACATGTAGATAATTTACAACTGTTAAACCTTACTTTTAGATGGTGGGATTTGGCACAAAAAATGTAAATTTAAGCGAAGGTACATTTTGTTCGCCGTTAGGAAGTAATAATGAATCGTGGGGTTATTCGTATAGGGGTTATATACAACACAATGGGCAATATGAGAGTTACCTTGAACATTTCAAGCAAGGATGTTTGGTAGGAGTTTATTTAGATACGTGGAGAGGAAAACTTCAATTTTTTATGAATCGAGCTCCAGTTGGTTAGTCATTGAATTTAGTAATAAAACTTACATAATTGCACACGATTAATTATTAGAATTAGATTTTTTTTATTACTTAAAAATTCCTTCGTATATAAATAGAAGATTTTGTATACGTTAGAATAATATGCATAGTCTTAATACATTTACCATGCTTTCAACATTGGATGTATTCAAACAATTTATGTACAAAAAGCCAAACGAGCCTATTCATTATTCATTGTAATAGAAATTTTTTATACTTTTTTATTAAAACTATTACAGGTTCTGCTTATACTGTATTAAACGAATTAGAATTATATCCCATGGCTTGTTCCTCATCCGCTAAAATCATAATGAAAATTACGTACAGTTCTTCGTTGCCAGTATCATTACAAACGGACTGTATACCAATGTTAACACCTTTCCAACGCATTTATCTACCGCTCTGTTTCTCGGGACAACATTTTCTAGATGTTTTTGCTGACATTCTAAAGAAGTTATATGGTAAAGATATGTCTCATCTTAAAAAATACAAATTATATTTTTCCTTGGTGACTACTAACATTATTAATAATTTTAGATAAAGCTCATAATGTCCATATTTATGTAGAAAGTGAGATTGAATTAAGCGACGAGAGTAGTAGTGATTAGATCGCTAGAATATATCGTTAGAAATATATTTTTATTTTTTATTAAATATGTACAATGAGTAAGTATTTGCATTTTAATATATAATACTAGATGATATTTATTTTGTATTAGTTGTTTGTATGAGATTGAAAAAAGAATGAAAAGGTAATCCTAAAACTAAACTTATACTTCTGCGATTCAATCCCAAGACTTACTATTTTATAAAAATTAAGGCAATCATTCGGTAATATTTACAAATTATTGAAAATTTAACAATCGTTTAATTTTCATAAATTACCAAAGCAAATTTAATAATATATAATATTTAATTATTAGTATAATAGAGAAATTTTAATTAGTATATTTATTTTGTGATTTGTGATTGCTTTGAAAATTATTTACTTCTATACACAATCGTAGAATTAATACATTGTACATATTTATTTTACACATTATTACAATAAAAATTTTTTACAAACATTGTACAAACGATAATACGATAATTACCTCTACAATTATTAAAAAAAAAAAAAAAAAATAGCTATTTAACTTTGGTTATTTTGGTCGACTTTTTTCTACCCTGCTGAATAGATCGTTTCCTGTTTTGACTATTTGACGAATTAATTTTCATACAAAATACAATAGCTTGAGCCCATCCAGCCAACGGACCCCACAATCTGCGTAAATACGAACTCACTTCTTGATTAATTTTTGGTGTAACGTTACTTTGTTTACTCAAATGTGGTATATAATTAGTACAAGCGACTTGAAATATATGAGTATCAACAGGAATAGCTTCTAAATGTCCTAATGACATAAGACAAATGCAGTCTGCTACTTTGGGTCCAACGCCTGGAAGAGACATAAGACTCTCTTTGGCAGACTCGTAAGTTGTACCATTCTCCTTCTTTAATTGCAGAAGCCATTTTTTTCCTCCCAAACTCAATAGTTTCTGGGCACTTTTAGATATGTAGCCTGCTCGATATCCGAAACCTTCCTTACGAAGATTAAATTCAACATTAGGCTTACTAAGTGCTTCTATCGTTGGAAAATCATAATACTCTTGATCTTCAATGGCGCATATCCTTGTGCCAAATATTTTACATAATTTTTCAACCATTCCTGATATTCTAAAAAATGAATCGAAGATAGATTTACTTTGTATTATAAAATCATAAAATCAATATTATACAAACCTGATTATATTATTATTTGAACTACAAATAAATGAGAAAAGATTTTCAACGACATCTTGATTCAATATTCTAACAGCTCCTAATTTATTATAACTTTCAAAGTGAGAATCTACACTTGCCCAGGTCCTCAGATTTTCCTTCAACGATAAATTCAATCGGAAATAATCTGATAATATTTTACTGAATCCTACATCCTCTTTTAAGCTTCCGTGTATTGTATAAATTAATTTATCATCATTTTGCATCAATGTCCAAACTGTACTAGAAAAGACACCACGAAAACTCTTTCCATCGTTGCATTCTATCCATCTAAAAATTAAATTGAAAAAAGAAAAATAATTCAAATATATTTATATCATTTTAATAAATACTCGTCTATAAATACTTAATAGTCATAATATTATTAGTTTGGTTATGTTTTCATAATTTAAATTTATTATACTTAAAATAGACAAGTTGCATTTTATAAAGTTTTCGACTTTGGGTCTTCGCTTACCTAAAACTTTGCCCACCTTTTAATGTTATTCTTAAATCAAGCTCTTTTATATCACAAAAAATACTTTTCTCTTTTTTAGAAATATTTTCGCAACTTTTATAACCTTCACTGGTCGAAGTCATAGTCCGTAGTAATCAAACATATTGAAAAAGAATTTTCCTCAATATTTAACAAGTTCTTTTCAATGTTGTGCCATAATCATTGTAAAATAAAAACATTAAGACATTAAACATTTACAAAAATGTCAAAATAATTAGTTAATAATGATTATAAATGGCGCGTAAGATAATATTTTTAGTAATATATTAAAATACAATTTTTTCTAATAAACGAATAAATAATAATGTTTAATTTTATTTAGTTATATTGTTAAAATCTATTACTCTAATTGAATATTATTTGTACATAAAGTTACAAGTAACAATTATTACACTGAATTTTTTATTTTAAATAAATGAAGCATTTATACAATGGATTTGTAATAAATTTACTAAGTAAGACAATATTGAAATGTTATTAAAAATGTAAGTATTCTTTTTTTTAAATAATACTCGAGTTAAACGTACAATTTCAAAATGCATTTTATAATCTGTGCGCGTTTGCGCATGTGTATGATCCATGATGATTTTATAATCACTCTGTGTGTGCGTGTGTGTGCGCGTGTGTGTGCGCGCGTGTATGCGCGTGTGTGCGTGCGTGCGTGAGTGAGTGAGCGAGTGCGTGCGTGTGTGCGTGTGTGACTGCGTGTGAATGCGTAGTATATGCAATTGCAAATGCATTTCATAAAACAGCGTTACAAATTATAATATGTAATACCAAGAGATATTATTTCATTATTAGTAAACTTATCAATGTTTAATAACTTGATGGATAAATTTTGTAATAGAATAATTCGATGAAGTATTAATATATATATATATAACAGAAAATTCTACTTATCTGTTTTGTAAAATTAAAAAAAAAAAACTTATTAAATAATAATTTTATAAATCTTTTGTTAATTAATTTGATTGATTACGATAATGAATGATTCGGTGGAGACGAAAAAATGACGAAGGTATTTATTACTAGAAGTACATTATCATTTATTTTAAATATGAATATTGATATTTCAATTTTTAGCCTCTTTTAATCGGGTGAAATTTCTATAATAATCATCGAGTGATGCTATTTCACATTGCAAATAAATTTATCTCATACACTCGTACGGAAACGTGAAGGTCATGAAGCCTAATCGTTCCCAGATTTTCTTGGGTAAGACAACATTCTATTTTTATTTATTCTTGTTCCTTTTGCTACTCTCATTCGTTCAGAAATAATTTAGTTGACTATTCTCTACTTTATCGTTTGGCTGGTCTCATCTTCTTATTCGTTAACCTACTCTGTTGGTAGAGCATTATTATAATTAAAAAAGATAAAATTATTAGAAATTTCATTGTAAAAAAAAGAAGTGAAATATTAGTATGCTATTAATTGACGACGACTAATTTCATTATATTTATGTTAATCTAAAGTTTATTTCACTAGAAGAATCTTGTGCATCTAATTTTGCTTTCCTGTTTATTCTGAATTATTGACGTAATGTGTTGATCAGTTGATGTAAAGTTGGACAATTTTTAGTATCAGTCAAACAATCACTTTTCATGCTGATTAATTGTATTTACACTTGTTTCGAGTTTTCATTGAGGGAAGAGATGAGACTATGTAGATAAATTGATAAGAGCAACAGTAGTATTTTTATCTTTTTTTTTTTTTTTTTTTTTTTTTTTTTTTTATAAAATTTGCAAAAATAAATTATCACTAGATTCAAATGGTACTTTTAATTATAATAAAAATGGTAGATTTATTATAAAGCAGCAGAAAAAAATATAATATGTTAATAGAATAAAACGATATTGCGCAGTAATTATATGCTAATAATAAATAATACAGAATACAAATTTTGTATTTAAACAGCAATGGTTTTTTTTTTTTTTTTTTTTTTTTTTTTTTTTTTTTAGCAAGTCAATTAAGTATTAAATTCGACAGATTAGACAGTAGATGTCAAAAATGAATCAAAATATATCTGTTCTTTCAAATTTCAAATTCTTTCCATAGAGAATTCAAGACTATTAAGAAAAGCTACAAATAACGAGTAAATCGGCTTGTAAATCTTAATAAGAATCCAAATTATTTTTATACATGTACTGTACAATACATTTACGATTTGAATGTGTATGTTTTTAAAGAATCTTTAAGTCATCAATAAAACTAAAGAAGAAATGCAAGAGAGTTGTTATTGTCTATAATCTGTTTATAAAATGGATATTACACCTGCACGTTTATACATATATCTTCTAAATAGAATTTCGTTTGGTAAATAAACATAGTTAGACTTGGCTTGACATGCAAATCTGATGTCATTCAAAAAAAAAGAAAAAAGAACAAAAAAGTCAGACATAAGTTATTATTATATTGGCATATAAATAATTGTTGTTTTGCGTAATACTAATGCGTAATAATAATCAAGCAAGTGTTAGTGCCATCGTTTACTCGATAGTATTTGCATGAAGTATGATACGTTAAATATTCATATTGTTTTTCCAATTCTTAGTTGTTCATTAGCTCTAAATATATTTAAAAACCACTAACGATCTGTATGTAATGTAAGCTGTACTTACATTAATTAAAAATTGATAATGATAAAATCCTGAACGCTTGTAGATAAATTTGCGGTGGCAAATGTTGGACTTTCTTCTGCTGAGGCCTAATTGAAGAACAATATTTTAATTACCCGATTATTTGTATGTATAAATCGTATTATTAGTCAAGAGTTTTTATTCTACAGTGATGCAGAATTAATCACTACGATTGGATTAGCGAATTAAATTAAAAATATCAATAAATATACTTATTTAATCATGTAAATCTACCGTTTGGATTGTGCAGATATATAATATTAAAACAATGTTTATAAAATGCAATTCAATGCAAAGAAGTGAAAATAAAATGAAAATAATTAGAAATAAATATCGGCATAAACTCAATGGTCTTGATAACGAAAGAAATTTCAAAATCTAAACATTAATTTTTAATAAATAAACGAGGCCTATAAAAAGACGCGTTAATTTTTTCAAGACTATTTTTGCTTAAAAAAAGAAAAAGTTCATAAAGTTAAAAAATATTCCTATTATTTAAATATATCGCTATAATAATAATAAAAAAAGGAAACAAAACAAAAAACAAAACAAAAAAAAAAAACAAAAAAAAGAAAACATAATTTTGTAAATTAATTTCTATTAATACGAAAACATTAATAATAACGAATTATATATGAATATAATTCTTCATTCTCTCCTAGATTTGACTGAATTTCACTTTCAGTTCATTACTTTGTTAATTAATACGATAAAAGATTCGTTATATTTCAAGGAAAAATATGCGTGTTTCCCAATTAAAATAAATTAACAAGTTTAACAGTAGTATTTTATTGTGAAAGGAAAATTTGTGCTGCGTCAGCAGACTCAAAAATTCAATAGATCATCAAAAACGATGAGAAAGATATTTATACGACATTCTTTGAAATTTATTACAAAATCGTAATCAATGAATTGATTTGTAATTAAGATAGTATGTATTGTTGGCAAAAGTTTATTTTTACTTGGTGTGGGAAATTTTTAAACAAATTTCAACTCATACCGTTTGATTATAAAGATCTTATGAAACAATCACTCTACTCTTATGGCAATTTGTAAATTTTCGTCTTATAATCGATAAATTAAATACATAATAAATAAAAGAATTAATTATTAATTACAACAGTGTGAATTTTTTTCCTATCACAATCCTTTTCCACGCTTTATGCATCAATAGTAAAATAAATAAATAATTTAATGAACTTATTTACATAAAAGTAAGACATCGATATTCATAAAATTAATAAATATTCATTTTTTTCTTTTTTCTTTTTTCTTTTTCATTTCACGCCTGGTCATTAAGCGTCCATTCATATCCAACGGTTTTCATAGAATCTCATGAAAGAAAAAATCACTAAAATAACTATAAAAAAAATTAATGTTCCTATGTAATTGTAAGATTGGCACATTTAACTGAGGTATCACTTGTTGACAAAGATTATATAGTTGTCGTCGACGCACAGATGCATCATGAAATGCCAGAGGCAAACGTCAATTTAGGTGGAATTATCATGAGCTTAATGATTGCGCAAGTTGTATAATGCAAGTTAATCATCATTTGATGGATTGAGTGCGGCTCAATATTTAATAATTACATCGATGACTCATGGATTTAATCATTTTTGTAAAACCTCCGATAATTAATCTTGATAAGTTGGTATTATTTCTCTTGGCGATCAAGTACCTTTCTATTCAATTTTTATTTACGCCTTTAATAAATCCTCGACGAGTTAGGTGCAATGGCAGGATGACATAATGGTCACATTAACTTAATACTCGTGTCTAATAAATAACATATAATTACAAAATAAAATATTTTTACCCTCCCTCTACGGTCCGCTATACTTGAATATCTGCTTATAATAATTGTAAGTAATTAAATTTACAAAATTTAAATTTACATGTTTCAAAACCTTACTAGGGATTATGAGAATTTAAACTTTATAAAATTGATATAATTTATTTATTTCATAAATGAACGTAATTGCTAATTGTGAATATTTAATTCAAAATTTATCCTTCTCAATCAGAATTTTCTCATATAATATATATGTAATTATCAAACAAACATTTCATAGACATAGTACTAGCAAAACTAGTATATTTATTAAGTTTGAAAATTACATTTATAATTCATAAAACTAATTATTCATTTTGACATGAGAGAATTTCTTATATATAATATTAATTATAAAAACTTTATTGTAATTCTGCATTGTTTGAATGATAAATATATTATTATCATTATATTTTTAATAAAATGGTTTGTATAAAAAAATATATATATATATATATATATGTATATACATTCAATTAATTCAATAATATTTTATGGAGTAATTTCTATTTTATACCAAAGTAAATATAGTAAAATATTGATTTTTTTAAATATATTTAACTTAATTTCTATAGTTGGTAATTGCATAATTTTTTAATACATTTAGAAATATTGAAATAAATTACAAATATACGTTTCTTTTATGTCTATTAGCCTATTTTTTGAAACTAAATTTAAAAATTGTAATATCATAATCATTTAA